TATTAATTTTAATATGAGCTGAATTCAAGATATTTTTTTTATTTTTTCAAGGTTGATTACCAACGTGATTCTTGTCGATAACTAGGAAAATAGTAATAAAAAATGGTGCCTGAAAAAATTGGCGCCTAAAATTTTGGGGATGAGCTGAATTCAAGATATATTTTTTTTATTTTTTCAGGGTTGATTATCAACGTGATTCTCGTCAATAACTAGGAAAACAGAAATCAAAAATCGCGCCTGAAAAAATTGGCGCCTAAAATTTTGGAGATGATTTCAACCTGCAGCAAAGATCTTCGTAGTCAGATGTGGTTCTTGTCGGTGATTTAGTAACATGGCCAACCATTTCCGCTACATTGTTAGACGTGATGTTCGTCAGTGATTAGCGCAGGGCTCGAGGCTCCTCTATTGTGCAGACGTTATCCTTGTCGGTAATTTACCGACGTGGGAACCAGAGATGTTTTCCGGTTAACTGTTCCGGCTCCCTATTTGCAAGATGTTTTTTGTCGGTAATTATGAGTGCATTTACCGACATGATTTTCATCTACGTCGGTGATTGAATTACTGAGCCCGGCTTCACCAAGGCACCCATTATCGACGTGATGCAAGTGGGTATTTTGTTTCACCGACCAGATTCCCTCTTTCTTTGACATGGTTTCTCATCGGTGATACAGTGAATTCTTGTAGTGATCTACCATTGTTTCTCTTTCTTAAACTAATATTTTTCCACATTATCTTACACTTTTATTACTTTTTTGCATCCATTTCACTTTTATTCTCTCATATTATCTTTGTATATATTTCTAGTTATTTCTTGGATCTTGTGTTAGAAAATATTTCTAGCATATAAAACAAATTCTTTAATATTGCAAGGCACCCTCAGAATTTTTGAATATATGGTCTTTAGTTACTTTGCAATATCAAATAATTTTATTAAAAGTTTTGGAACCAAATATTCAACTGCCTTTTCTTCTTAAAACTTTTCAAAATCTTGCCTATTTTATGAAAATAATCTTAATAGAAGTTTCGGAGCCAAATATTTAAGTGCATTTTCTTCTTTAAAAATTTTCAAAATCCTATCTATATTTTATCATAAATTTGGAGCCCAACCAACATTCAAGCAGCTAATTTCCTTTTTAATGTTTGGGCAAAATACTAAAAGTGGTGGGAGTGTACAGTGTGGGAGCAAGGGGTTGCTGGGAGTCTTTTGAACAACACAGCCACCTTTTTGAAGATAAGGTAGTAAGGGTAGGATGGGAGGTCATTTGGCTTTTAGTGGCATGATTATTATGAATTGCTAGAGACAATAGCATAATCAAAGGAAAGAAACCAGTAATGGGAAATGAGATGGTCCAAATTAGATCATTTGATTGGTTGAAGGCAAAAAAGAAGGAATGGAAAGCATCCCACAGACTGGTTTTTGGATCAAAAAGAATGCATGAAGGAAACTGAGACAGTTTTTCTTTTTTTTTATGTTGATGGAGTTTTTGCATTGGAAACATAAATTTTTTTTTTGGTACATCACATGATGAGTTATACCATATGAGATAACCCTTCCCTTCCAAAACCCCTTCCCACTCGTCTTAAGATTTCACTTTGAGATTTTCAATATGGAGATTCAATCCCTTAACCGCTGAGATGTCCTTAGGAGATGGAACATAAAATGTTGAATGTTGTATAAGGGACATTGTGACAATATATGGTAAGAAATTAAAATGGAAAATACCTTCTTCTTTTTTTTTTTACACACCATTCGAATTGGAGGGTTTGTAATGTAAGAGGTTAAAGTAGTCCTTAAACTCACAACTAATTAATAAGAATAATAATTTTTTATGTTTAAAAAAATTATTTATTAGTTGACATTTCAATTGCAATATTTCCAATATTTATTTATTCTCAAGGACAAATAGTTTTAATGATTGAACAATGGGTTCGAAAGTCTTCATTTCAAGTTTGATGTGAGAGAAAGCTAGTTGCGCAAAGGAGTTGGTTCCAGGTATCAGGGACTCCTGCTAGGCACCAGTGACTGCAATCCATGTCATTATGGCCACCATGGCCATACACAGATGGATGGCCGTCTTTCCTCAGTTGAGAAAGAGTTGTGATATTAAGCAAAAAAACAGGCTTTAACATGCTTTGTAGTACTTTCTCCACTACTAGCTCAGCTGGGTTTGAACCTCCTGGGTAGCTTGATCCCATAACTGGTTTTGTTTGTCCCTTACAATTTTTCGCTTGTGGTTCACCCCAAAAAGATCCACTTGTTGAATAAAAATAAAGAAAAGAAAAATTATTAATTAGGATTTTGCTTGAATAAACAATCAATTGAATTCCCAATCTTTTATTTCCCAACAATAAAATTATTTATTTTTCTAGCTAGTTTAAATCCATAAATTATTTTAAATTAATGCATTGACAATAAACATTTCTCTGTTCAACTTTAATTAACTTAAATTTTAATTTGGAGTGTTTATTTTTAATTGTTTACTTTTTTTAGAATGTTATTTAATGAGTTTATTCTTATTTTACTCTTATTTTAAAAAGATAATTATAACATATATTAAATAATAAAACGTATTAAAAACATAGCTAATTAGAGATAAATATAAATTTATAACAATTAATTATTATATTTTTATTTTGGTAGACCGAAAAGTTAAACTGATTAAAGTTGAATGGAAAGAGTAATAACAAGAGAAAGTGGTTTTCTAAACGGCAAAACTAGATCATCAAAGGAGGGCCCACATCTCATATTGTAAAAAAATTATAATAACAAATATCAAATCAGCTTAATAATTTAAGTTAAATCCTCAATTTGGTCCTTACTGTTTACCAATTTGGCCCCTACTATTTACCAATTTGCCTCAAGTTGGTCCTTCCGTACAAAAAATAACTAATGTGTCCATTATTTAATGGCAAAAAATAGTAACTTAACAAAGAAAAATAATAACTTTAATGGAGAAAAATAGTAATTTAACAACCATGTGTCACATTAATAACAAGATATGTTGGTTGGTTTTTGTACAGAGGGACTAACTTGGGATAAATTGGTAAACAGGAAGGACCAAATTGGGGATCTGTACAATAGTTTAAGGATCAAATTAGGGATTTTTTTAGTTCAGGGACCAAATTGAGAATCCGTATAATAGTGTAGGGACCAAATTGGGCATTTAACCAAAAATTTATGACCTACCATGTATGTTAATATGGATATTTTATCAAATGGTTAGTTTTTAGACTTTTCTCTTAAGTATTCTATATATATGTAAGTATATAAGACTCCATGCAAGTACCACCAGATAAGTATCTACACAAGAGTTGGAAAATTATAGGTCCATATATTTAGGTTGATGTCTTGCCTCCTATAGAAAAGTGATGAACTTACTTCATATGATCAGGCGAGACTCCTTGAAAGAAAACCTTAGTTTTGGAAGGATCAACATTGGTGTCAACCCATTTAGCCCATGTATTCAACGCTATCTCATAGGCAACCAACCTGTCCATGTCTCGTTGAATGTGATTTCCTTCCTGAATAAAATCCCATCTGCAAAATAAATTCAATCATGCATATTATAATTTTACTATATATATAATTAACGAACAATACTTTAGTTAAATTGGTATTAACTATAACTAAAAAATATTAATTTGAAGTTTCTGAAGACTGTACGGTTGTTTCCTTCCAGTGTGAAGCCACCAATGCCAGGAATTGAAGATCAAGACATCGATTCCTCTCCATAATTTGCCTTCTTCAATTGAATCAAGTCTAAGAATTCGACCAATGTTGGTGCTAACTATGTCTACAAGGAATGCATTTCGAGAGAACATCACTTTTGCATTATACTCCTGCACATTTTACACTTTAATTTAGTATGCATCCACATCAAACCTTTTTTAATAGAAGAATGTATATCTTAGTGTTAAAATTATTTAACTTTTGACAATTTCTTTATCTATCTGTTACTTCTCTATTTACTGAAATAACTTGTCAATGGAGATTCCTGCATTTCTTATAAAATCAATTATTGATATATCCTTTAGTTCGATACACCAAACAAATGTTTTATGGTGATCCCTTTTCTTATAAAATCAATGAAAGAGCTTGTCAAGATTTGATGAATCAATATCAACACATTGAACATTTTTTTCATAGGAAGATTTACAAGTTTTAGACAATTGATTATGATTTAAAACTGTAATTGATACAGTGAAATAGCTTGCAACTCAAGGTTGAGCTTTTAAAAATTATGATAAAAGTAGCAACTTGAGCAATTGCAAAATTTTATTAAAATTTTTGAAGTTATTATCATTTTATAATGAGAATGTTGAGCTTAACATAATGCTTCTCAAAATGCTTTATATACTTCACTGGAAACTCAAAGGAGATTTTAAAAGTTTTGGAAATAAAGTGAGAGAAAGTATAAGTGATGTTAAGCTTTGTATTACTGTTGATGAACCATAAGATGAATCAAAGTGGGAGCAATTGGCCTTAATTTTAAGATTTGTTGATAAAAAAGGCTTTTTTGAAAAAGTGCTTTTTTGGTATTGTTTGTGTGACAAATACATTAGTTAAGACTTTAAGATATGCTATTGTTTCTCTACTTTCTTATTATTATCTTGACATTCATAACATTTGCAATTAAGGATATGATCATGCAAGTAACATAAGAGGTGAGTTTATTGGATTTGAAACTCTTATTAGTAAAGAATGTCATCATGCTTCCTACATTCATTGATTAGCTTATCCTTTGTAATTAACTTTAGTTGCATTATCAAAGTAGGTTTTTGTGTTGCTTAATTGATTGAAAATGATGAGCTTAAAATTGAAAGTAGACTTAATTACATTTAAGCATGTTAAAATATTGGTTTAAGTACCATTTTAATCCCTCAACTTTACACTTTGGTACCAAAATTATCCTTTACCTTTAAAAAATACCAAATTTATCCTTGAACTTTCATTTTTAGTACCAAAATAGTCCTTGCGTCAGTTAAATGAGGCGTCACGTTAATTTGCCAGCAAATCACTTAACTTTTTAAATGTTAATGACGTATAAATCCAACAAGGAAACCTCCCATTTTTTTAATCAGTTAATACATTAAAAAAAGTTAAAATTACTTAAATGCCCTCATCCTCACCCTCCAACCTTCCTTTCTTCTTTCTCCTGCTTCTCTTCCAAGCTCCAAGCAAACCAGCAATTTCGAAAAATCTAGCAGCTCAAAAAAAAAAAAAAAAAAGCAATGGTAAACCTAGGTTTCCATGGCTTAATCTCTATAAAAAAAAAAACAAAATTTTTATGTTGAAAACTTCAATTTTCCTTGGATTTGTAAAAAAAAGGTTTAATACCCAATTTGGTCCTTAAACTTTCTTTTTGGAACTTAGTTCGTCCTTTAACTTCAGAAAGGACTCAAATCGTCCTTAAACTTTATTTTTCCAAAACTCAAACAATCCTTCTGTCACGGAACTGCTTACCTGTCACGTTAAGTCTCCACCAATTAAAAGAAAATCCATCACTTTGCTACATCCTATGACTTTAAACCTATAGTGTTTTAAAGGAAATCCATCAATTTCTCGATCTTCTTTTTTTGAGGTAAGCATGAAAACTGGTTGCAGTACAAATGCAGATTGAAATTGCTCCTCCAACCAACCATAGCTCATCAAAAGCTCCTCCTTTTTTTCCCAAGTTTCCTTGCTCATAGCTGTCTTTGGACGAAGAGCATAAATAAAGGACTTTTTTGCTGGTTCCAAGCCCATTGCTTTAACTTCATGAACCATCTCTTCGAAGAAATCAACTTTACATGCAAATGCCCGAGGGTGCCACACTAGTAGTGTC